TATTTATTTATTTATTTATTTATTTATTTATTTATTTATTTATTTATCTATTTATTTATTTATTTATTCATTCATTTAAAAGAAACAAATTCAACAAAACAAATTCAACAAAAAGAAATAAACATTGAATGAACAGGGTGCAGAAAAAAGAAGAACATTCTTATAATATCTGCCCCTAAATAAAAATATATAAAATAAACAAACAACTCAGGCTAGAACAATGTCCAAAGTGAAAACAAAATACATCAGGCATCACATAGTATCATACTTTCCTAACAAATTTAACTTAATCCTCTTTTTAAACGTATAAATTAGAACATTTTATAGTGATATCAAAGCAATTCCACATCCTGTTCCCTGAATTACAACGCAGCTCCTTCACACTAGTTCTAAATGGAGGTTTTACAAACATTTCCATCCCCTTACGGTTATAATGACTCTTTTTTTAACTAATTCTAATCGTATATTTATGGGTATTTTTTTTATAAGCTTAATACATGACTTGTAAAATACAAGTAATAAAATAAAATACAAAATACTTTTTTTTTTTCGTGCTACTCTACGGTGAAACCAGACGTGTCCCCCTCCCCCCCCCACCCACCCGCTTCTTTTTCCTGCATACCTCTTAATTGGAAGGATCAGCTGGTCTCTCAACAAAATCGATCAACTTCTCCCGACAGGAGTCAGGGTAAGGAGGACCCTCTGAACTCTTTTAGGAACAAATTGGATTCATGATGACGACTAGAATCTACTGTTTGGTTGGTGAAATCTTGGATCATCTACAAATTCGTGTGGAGGTGTTGAAGCTCGACAGTGCTCGGACTGAATGTGGAGCTGTGACAGGGAGTTGGAGCAGCTGTTATCAGGACTGTGATCTTCCTGGCAGCACTCATGAATGGTGGAATAATCTGGAGAAGCTGTGAGCTCGACTTTTGAAGTAAAGGATCAATTCGGCTGTTTTGGAGTTTCCATCAGAGAATATTCTGATGCATGCTCAATAATCCAGGTAGAAAAATCCAAAAAAGTTCAATCTGGTCCTCTGGACATTAAAAAAAAACAAAAAACAAAGCAAAAAAAAAAGTAGAAACGTTTCGTCTCTCATCCTGAGGACTTCCTCAGTCTGAGGAGCTGTTTTCAGCTCAGTCTCTTAAATAGCACCTTCTCTGAGTGGATCAACCAGTTTTGCTGCTGACAACCAAAACCAGCTGATCACATGCTCAAGAAGGACCATCAGCCTAACAATGGATCATTAGCACCTGATGGCTGTTTACTATTCACAGAGGGCTGAGTGATACTAGCAATCACAGCATTGTAAGAGGGGGACAGTTGAACCTGGAGGCTCCACCCCTGTTTAATGATGGACGGTTTCTTTTCACAAAGATGGCCTCCTTTACTCCTCTCTCAAACCATCGTTCCTCTCTGTCCAGGATGTGAACATCTTCATCCGTGAAAGAGTGACCGCTGGCCTGGAGATGAGTGTAGACCGCAGAGTCCTGGCCTGATGATGTTGATCTTCTGTGCTGGTCCATCCTTTTGGCCAGTGGCTGTTTAGTTTCCCCGATGTAAGACTGATCACCCTCCTGACACTGAACAACATACACAACATTACTCTGTTTGTGCCGGGGGACTGGATCTTTGGGATGAACCAGTCTTTAATGTATTTTGGGGTTTAAAAGCCACTGGGATGTTATGTTTAGAAAATAAACATCTCAGTTTCTCTGGTACTCCCTCAACATATGGAATGACCACTGGTCTGGGTCTGGGTTCCTCCTTTTTTGCTAGTATCACTCAGCCCTCTGTGAACAGTAAACAGCCATCAGGTGCTAATGATCCATTGTTAGGCTGATGGTCCTTCTTGAGCATGTGATCAGCTGGTTCTGGTTGTCAGCAGCAAACTGGTTGATCCACTCTGAGAAGGTGCTATTTAAGAGACTGAGCTGAATACAGCACCTCAGACTGAGGAAGTCTCTCGGATGAGAAACGAAACGTTTCTACATTATTTTTTTTGCTTTGTTTTGTTTTTTGTTTTTTTTGAATGTCCAGAGGACCAGATTTAACTTTTTTCCATCAGAGAATATGTACCAGCGAGACTTTAAAGGCAGAAACAACAATTAAGAGTTCTGCCTGACCCAAACTGTGGCCTTGACGCCGGACTTATCTCAACTCCTCCTGGAATGTTCAGAAAACAACAAAGATGCTTTGACTGTTTCCTCACCCCTCCCTTCTCCAAGGACATGTGACAGAACCTCAACTGAGCTGGAGATGAACGTCACCTCTTATCTGGACAATGGCTGAGGGGGGGGGGGG